TTTTCCTAAAGCTTTCCTCCCACACTAACTTCTTACACCAACCAAAACACACAAAGATTCTAACTTTAGCTAAAGACACCTAAAAGAAGGTTTTAAACACCAAAAAGCTAAGGATCTTACCCTTTCCTATGCTCAAGAAGGAGAAAGTAGAAATCTTGGAAGAAAATCTTACACAGCTTGGAAGTTCATTTCTTGCTTGGAGAAGAAGCTAAACCATCTTAGAGATAAGCTAGAGTATTTGAGTTTTAGGTTGAAAAGGTGAATGAAATGAGAAAGTTTTGCTAGGTTAACTTGAATCACAATTCTTAGGTGAAGAGACATATTTACCCTTACAAATGTTGGAAAGCCAATGGAACAAGGGCACAACTCAAGAAGTACAGGGTACAACCTTTTGACTTAAGTGACTAGTCAAAATCTAGTCCCTCGACTATCAAATTTCCGGACTTTTAGGAATGGATTAGCAAGGAAACTTTGATTAATTCTTCAATTAATCCTTGATAAGTGTTTAGATTTATGAGGTGTCACAGTGCAAGAGAGGAAGAAGCGAAAGATCACAAATCCACCTCACCCCGAAAGCTCCTTACCACAAAAACCTATCATGGCAGAACAGGTCAACCCGATTCTGTCACAAGAACCTGCTGCGGTAGACAAGGACGAAAGCGGGCATCCTTCTTCAACTGATCACTTAAGTCTCCCACAAGAACCTGGTTGCCATCAGAGACGAAAGAAGTGATCAATGAGACGGTACGAGAACCACCACCATCTCAAGATCAACTAATTCAATAGGCCATATACGATGATTATCAGCGAGTGTTAAAATGGCCGAAATGGCGTACATCCCCTCTCAACCTGTTTCTCGAAAGCCTTGATGACATGAGAAATGAGGAGGATTTTGCACTTGCTTGGATTGGCACGAAGGATTTATACCAGGCCATCAGATTGGAAACAATCACTCGAGCGTATTCATATAAGATCACCAATCGAAGCATTGTAAAAGGAAAGGCTGCAATAAGTCTCGACATCAAGAAACCCCCACTTGACGATCCGATCTTTGAGGTAGAAATGAAGGATCTTCGGGAAGCCATGAGATTGTAAAAAATCTATACGGAACTCGAGAAGTTGTACAAGAATGATCCTCACTGTAGCGTTAGTGGCATGAAAGGTGATGATTCCTATGCTGATATTCCAGTAGAAACGAATGAAGAGAAAACTGAGGACCATCAGCCTGATAAAACTGAAAGGAAGAATATGCCACGAAAGACTGATGAAGATCATTCTGAAGAAGAAGATGATATTGATGATGGAAATGAAGAAGATGAAGATAATGATGAAGATGATGATGGGAATAATGATGGGAATGATGATGGAGATGACGATGATTGTGATGCGAATTCTGATGATGACAGTGATGCTGACACCGAAGGATCTCTCATCATAGGTAACACAATGATGATTCCCGTAAAGACTCCTGATGGTCAAAATTCTTCGTCAAATGATCGAAACGACTTAAGTCTGAGATTAGCTCGTGATGGCAAACCGGAAGCATCACCGAGTGCGAGACATGACGACTCTGGTCGAAAGGAGAAATGCATTCAAACTAATGTCCATGAAGAATACATTGACACTGAGTCCCTCCTAACCTTTCTCGCCGACACAATTACGGCACTCAAACGACAACATCAGCGGTACAATGAGCAGCGTCAGCAAGATGTTGAGATGATGAAGCATTTATCCTCACAAATGGCCCTCATTTCGGCCACATTAACTTCTATGAAAAAGAACTAGCAGCCTCCTGATCTCAGTCACGAAAATGAGATGCTTGACATAATTTCCAAGGAACAACATTCGATCAAGCTTTCACAATTTGGTCTCAAGGAAAGAGTTGTCCTTTCTTGTTCGAAGATTGATTCAGCAAACGACAACATCTTTAAAGATCTCTCTGTCAAGGTTGACAAGCTTCTGAAGCCCTCTGATCCTCCTACTGATGATGTTAAAAAGGGGGAAAGGAGATACAAGAAAGATGATGACGATGAAGATGAGAGAAGAGGAGAGGGAACATTCGACAACAAACAAGACGATAGCAGATACAAGACACCTCTCCCTCCATCGAAGTCTCGACAAGAACCTCCATCATAGTCTCGTCAACCACCTTCCAAGTCTCGTCAACAATCCATAAGACCTCGTCCATCCTATGGCTCCAAATCCATTTACGCATTTGCAGGACGATCTCACATAGAGAAGATAAATCGTCGTAGTAGGCTGATGAGGGAGAACTCTATGACAATGGATGGCTCAGGGACCTTTGTCAAGTTCAAAGAATACGAGAGAGGAAGCGGGAAAAGATTTGAAGGTTGTAACTTGCCAATTTTGCTCAAGAAGAAAGACAACACAACAAGGCAAGAGTACCAAAGGAGAGTAAATGAGAAGATAAAAAGGAAAATGAAGCTCTTTGGCTTGAACATGAAGAAACCAGAAACTTGAGAGAGCGAGAACTTACTCCTTTTCAAGAAATACAAAAGAAGATAAAAGATATTTCAAAAATTGAAAAAGATGCAGATACAAGTGTCAAATATGATGTCGTGTTCAAAATACACAGAGAATCCGGCAAGAGCTATGTGGAATGAATGAACTCCATAGAGCCCGTGACTTGGTGGAACCTTGGCATTGTACCATAATGAAACATTTTAGAGGCTTACAAGAATTACATGAGCTGCAATTTTGGAGAAAAATATGAAGGTCTGGGTCGAGAAAACCCACTCCGAAACGTTAGAGATTCAACCAATAACGAACTAGACTTCGACAACATGCTCAAGAAGCAAAAGGAACGTGATGAGAAAGAAAGAAAGGAAGCACAACAAGTGAAACTGAATCTTTTGAACATGTAATGATCCTTTTAATTTCAGTATTCTTCATTTTTTAATTTTCTCTTTATAAATGAAAGTTTGTTTTACACATATCTTGAGTACTCTTTTTCTTTAAATTCAGTAAATCTCGTAGATCTTCATGTAAACTCATCTATAGGGATATTTTGTAATAAAATCTCCTTTAAAGGACATCATTCAGCCTTGTAGAAAGAGTGTAGGTTTTGACATCATAGGTTTAGTTGAGACTAGCATAATAGGTCGACTTGAAAACATGAAGATAACAAGATGGTCGAAAGATGATTGCAGACGAAAGATGGATTGAGCAACTCTCAGATAGACATCTCTCGACAAAATGGATCTCATCATAAGTCAAAAGATAAAGACAATCTTTCAAAGATCTTCTCCGAGAAAACAAGTTTCAGATAAACTTGTAAAGACAACCTTCATCAAAAATAAAGCAAGAAGAATGTTGTCTCATGAATGCGCAATCATTCGGACAAAAGGTGTCCTAGGAATGATTTTCACAAAAGACAAGGAACATTAAAAGACTTGTACCATCTTGTTAGAGAACAAGGACAAAAGCCATAATGTTTTTGACTCAAACAGCTATACAGTACAAGTGCATTAAATGCTTGATGCCCACTAGTTAATACACACTGGATATTAGGTTTGAAATCTTCATCTCCCTCCAACAGATGAATTTTTCCACCTATAAATACCTCTCTTCACCTTTAAAGAAGGTGCTGGTTATTTTCACTCTTGCTATCCAAAGAAAAGCTCTTCAAACAATTTCATCTCTTAAAAGCTTTTCATAACCAGTGATTTTGTGAAGTTTTTCAAAGGGCTCATCCATTTCCACACTTCACAATTTGAAGAAGTCTTGCATTTTCTCAAGTGAAGATTCATCTAGATATCAAGACAAGGCTTCAACCCGTTGGAGAAACACCAAATTATCTTTCCAACATCTCAACTTTTAGGAAGAAGTTGATAGAGGCGGAGTAAACTCGAGAAGTTGAAAAACCTATCAAGTGGCTGTCCAGCTTAGTGATCAAGGAAGCCAGCTTGAAGTAGTTTGTACTAGGTGTGATAGTGCCACTACTACACAGCAGGCTTTTAACGTCGGCTAAATAGAGCTTTTAACGTCGGTTATGTTCCGTAGTTGTTCTGGGCGACGTTGTAAATATTATCTATAACATCGGCTATATAAATAGCCGACGTTATATATTATTTTAAAAAATAAATAAATAAAGTTTACAACGTCGGCTAATAACATTTAGCCGACGTTGTATAGTATTTTTAAAAAAAAATAAAATACTTACAACATCGGCTATTAGCATTTAGCCGACGTTGTATAGTATTTTAAAAAAAAATTAAAATACTTACAACGTCGGCTAAATGCTATTAGCCGACGTTGTAGGTATTTTAATTTTTTATAAAATACCTACAACGTCGACTATTAGCATTTAGCCGACGTTGTAAGTATTTTAATTTTTTTTAAAATACTATACAACGTCGGCTAAATGCTATTAGCCGACGTTGTAACCGTTATTTTTTTTTAAAAAAAAATATATTCAACGTCGGCTATTACTTAATAGCCGACGTTGTATGTTTTTTTTTTTTTAATATACAATTTATTTGTCCATTATTTATACCCAAAAACCTGCTCAAATCTACTCACAACAACAACCACAACCTAAACCTGCTCAATTTCTCACAACCACAATCAAAAGCTACTCAATTATTGCACCACAACTACAGCAAAATATGTACAATCTAATATTTATAATGAAACAAGTAATAAAAGTAATAAATCTCACAATTTGATACTAATTAATAATACAAGTTAACATTATCAAAAGCTAATATCAATTTGTTCAATTTACATACTTAACCATACATCAACAAAGAAAAAGAAGTCGGCCCATACGTCTCTTACTTGATCAATTTTTTGTTGAGTGTAGCTCGATCTACCAACTCTCTCAACAATCTACAAAGTTGATAATTATTAAATAATTAGTAAGCTAGCATTTTTAAAATTAGAAAGAGAAAGGTATTATATTAAATTACATGCCTTATCCATTCCCGCACATGCTTCTTTGGAAAGAATTTCAAGCATGTATTTCATCACATAATATCCACATGCCGTACTTCCAACTTGTTGAGCACACTACATTTGAATTAAATTACATTTAAAATTTTATTTAATGAAAAATAATAAAATATATGTATTTTTACAAATGTATAAAATACTTACCAAAACCTTAGTCCATTTTGGTGAACGAGTTGATCCATTGCTTCTCAACAACTTTGCTGAATTGACACACCTAAAATTGAAACATTAGGATCAACGTAACACTTGGAAAATATATATGTACTTAATACATAATTACTGCAATTATAAATAGTACCCCAAAAAAAGAAGTTAGAAGACTCTTAAACCAGTGGTTACTGTTTAGGATTCTCCATTCAGCCTGTGTAGGGCAACCTGCCATAATGAATGGACTTTAAGAAAGAAGAAAAGGATGACAGCCAATTAACAAGTTCATATACTTATAGCCAGCCCGATGGTTAAGTATCGAGCTCTAACGACCATTTGTATTGACTCAAATTCAAAGAGACGACAGAGTACGTTTGAGTCGTTTAAGCATATAAGATTAAGAGTTTGAACTTAATTTCATCCAACGAGATGCAGATACCAGCAAAGCAGTATGCAAGAAAAAGAAAGAAAAAAAAGGTATAATTTATATTTGACAATGTTCATAATAATCTTGTGGGATGCCAGGATACTTGCAAGCAATAGTGACAGACTCAGAGGATAGGCTGCCTTCCTGGTTCAACAGGTTCTCTGAATCCCCGGGAGCTACTGCCATCGATCTCTGACCTGTTGATGTCTCTACCACCTTCACATTATATCACACAACAACTGATTTTCAGTTCCCTGTTATGTGGGAAAATGTAGGTTTAATTTGTACATTCTATTATATAGAGCCAATACCTGCTGTCTTAATCGTTCATTTTCTTCCATTAAATGCACTCCCTGCAATTTTTGAAACTTCAATTCACCACTGTGAGTACTCAACCTTAAAACAACACTAGTATACCTTTTCTTGAAGCTGGTTTATTTCCTTCATAATCTTTTCACCCTGACAAATTAGTCAAAAAAACAAATGTTTGTGAAAAATATAATAGACCATATATATAATCATAACAATAAACCATAATATCACTGGGTAGCACAAATTAAACCTTATTGTTGATAACATGGCCCAAACCTATTTGAAGGGACCTCTCCAACTGCTGCAACTCTTCAATACTCAATTCTTGAAGCTCCTCTCCCCTCATTTGCCTGTTCATATATAGCCAAGACTACATCTTGATTTTAGTATGCATCATTTAGCCAAGAGTATAGAAAACAACACACAAATTAAACTCACCTCAGCTATTGCATTTCACTAGAAATTGTTGGAAAAAATAGCTTAAAATGGCATAAAATGGCATGTTAAGTGGCTATTTTGTGGTACAATTATCAGTGGGGTCCACTTCCGATTTGGGTCGGGTCAAAGTGGATTCGGATTCTTCGTAGTGAGACGAAGAGATCGATATATTGTACGCTCAAAACGGATAATGGGTGAATGAGATATTGATTCTTAAAGTAGACCCATTTGAGTTGGAAAATGAAGGGAAAAAGTGAGCTTTTGTCCCACATTGCTTTGGAATGAAGATTTTCCCCCCTTATATACAAGACCTCTTTTAAAGTTTGTAGAATTGTATAGCATAGAGGCTCTCTCGCGCGGGGGGGGGGGGGGGGGGGTGCAAATCAAATTCCAACTAGCAGAGATTGAAAAAGGCTTGATTCAAGCCCGAGCTCGTGTGCGCCGGCACCTGGGGGCACGAATGTCGTCCGGAAATTGGCTGGCCTTGCGGGCTAAGTTATGCCAAGAGAGCACGAGAGGTTGTGGTGCACCGAGAGCACAACTCTCGTGCAACAGAGTCCATGAAAGGTCCAAGGGCCGAAACTGGATGAGGTCGAAAGTTGAGACCGAACCCTGTACGCTAACGGTTAGGAACCCGAAAGTTCTGACTGTTGAGGGGATTGAATTCATCTGTTACGGAATTAATTGTCTATTAATTCCAATTTTGAATTCTGAATTCAATTCCCAGGTAGTGGCCTGCTGTTATAGCTGTTGGAAGGCAGCTTTAATGTCATTTTTAATTGCCATAATAAAGGCTATTGGCTCCTTCAACCCTATATAAGAGAGGGTAGAGGCAGTAGAGTTTTACACACAGAAAATATAGAACACGAAAGTTCATCTTTTAGCCTCCAAGAGGAACAAGAAGGACAAGCGAAAGGAGATGAATTTGTTGCTAAGTGAAGCCTTCCAAGTGGGATCTGTGATCCATTTGTTGCCTCCAGGGTGGAAGGACTTCAAGAACTACCTTAAGCATAAGCGAAAGGAGATGAATTTGGAGGACCTGATCCAGCGACTCAGGATTGAGGAAGGGAACAGGACGAATGATAGGAAAGTTCCTATCGTTGTTGGCGCTAAGGCCAACGTTGTGGAGCACGGTAAGAGCTCAAAGAGGAACAAGAAGGACAAGCGAAAGCTAGGTCCGAAAGGTGGCGTTACCAAGAACAAGTTTCCTGGTGAATGCTACAATTGTGGCAAGCATGGCCACAGAGCATCTGAATGCAAGGCTCCAAGGAAGAAGAACAAGAGTTCTGAAGCCAATGTTGTTAGAGATAGCAGTCAGAAGGAGGTCGAGATTAGCCTTTCGGCTATGGTGACCGAGGTGAACCTCGTGGGCTCAAACCCTCGTGAGTGGTTCATTGATACCGGTGCAACCAGGCACTTGTGTTGCAACCGAGAGATGTTCAACACCTTTGAGACCGTTGAAGGTGAAAAGGTGTGGATGGGAAACTCTGCTCAGTCTGCTGCGGAAGGCATGGGCAAGGTGGTTCTGAAGATGACTTCCGGGAAGGAACTGACGTTGAACAACGTGCTGTATGTTCCTGAGCTGAGGAAGAATCTTGTGTCTGGCTCTCTGTTGAACAAGCATGGCTTTCGCATGGTGTTCGAGTCAGACAAAGTAGTTTTGTCCAAGTTAGGAATGTTTGTTGGTAAAGGATATGTAACTGATGGGCTGTTTAAGCTCAGTGTAATTCCTGTTATCAATAAAAGCAGAGTCAATTCTGTTTACTTGCTTGAGTCTTCCAATTTATGGCATGGTAGACTAGGTCATGTTAATTTTAATTCTATGCGTAGATTAATTAGAATGGACCATATTCCTAACTTTCAAATTGACACAAATAACAAGTGTGAAATTTGTGTTGAGGCAAAACTAACGAAAGTACCTTTCAAGTCGGTTGAAAGGGAAACTGAACCACTAGAATTAATCCATAGTGATTTGTGCGATTTTAGATCGATACAAACGAGAGGTGGTAATAAGTATTTTATCACATTTATCGACGATAGCACACGATACTCCTATGTGTATTTGCTTAAGAGCAAAGATGAAGCCGTTGATAAATTCGTTCTTTATAAGAATGAAGTGGAAAACCAACTTAATCGGAGAATTAAGAAGGTTAGAAGCGATAGAGGTGGTGAGTACGAAGCACCTATTGGTGACTTCTGTGCGAGTGTAGGGATAATACACGAGCGTACTGCACCTTACTCACCTCAATCGAACGGTGTTGCCGAACGAAAGAATCGTACATTGAAAGATATGATGAATGCGATGCTTATAAGTTCGGGCCTACCTCAAGATGCTTGGGGTGAGGCGATTTTGACAAGTAACTACCTTTTGAATAAGGTACCCCGAAAGAAGCTCGATAAGACTCCTTATGAGCTGTGGAACGGTAGGAAACCTTCCTACCAGTACCTGAAAGTGTGGGGGTGTCTTGCCAAAGTTTTGGTGCCAACACCTAAGAAAGTAAAGATAGGTCCTAAGACGGTGGACTGTATCTTTATTGGCTATGCACATAATAGTAGTGCTTATCGGTTCTTAGTACACGAGTCCAATAATCCGGATGTACACGAGAACACGATAATAGAATCAAGGAATGCATATTTTTTCGAAAATATATTTCCTTGTAGGTCCAACGAGGGACCAAGTACGTCAAAACGAACGTTTGACGAGACTATGGATAATGATAGTGGGGAATCCGAGAGAGAACCCGAGCTCGAGCCGAGACGCAGTAAGCGGGCGAGAGTTGGAAAATCATTCGGTCCTGATTTTCTAACTTACTTGTTAGAGTACGATTCGGGTACTCTAACTTGTTTATTAGAAAATGAACCCGATTTTCTATCTTGTTTGATAGAGAACGAGCCTCGAATGTATGTAAAAGCCGTGACTTCTACGGAAGGACCAATGTGGAAAGAGGCTATAAAAAGTGAAGTGGATTCTATTCTACAGAATCACACTTGGGAACTGGTTGATCTTCCTCCGGGTAATAAACCCTTAGGATCCAAGTGACCCTTTAAAAGGAAGATGAAACCGGACGGTTCCATCGAGAAGTATAAGGCTAGGCTTGTAATCAAGGGTTACAGGCAACGCGAGGGCCTCGATTACTTCGACACGTATTCTCCCGTGACGAGAATAAACTCCATAAGGATGATACTTGCCATAGCCGCACTGCGGAACTTGGAAGTTCATCAAATGGATGTGAAAACCGCTTTCCTAAATGGCGAATTAGATGAGGAAATCTATATGGAACAACCCGAAGGGTTCGTGGTTCCGGGCCAAGAGAAGAAAGTGTGTAAGTTGGTTAAATCGCTCTATGGTTTAAAACAAGCGCCTAAGCAGTGGCACGAGAAGTTTGACCATGCGATGTTAACGAACGGGTTTAAAATAAACGAAAGTGACAAATGCGTCTACGTTAAGGAAACGTTTGACGGCTACGTCATCCTTTGTTTATATGTCGATGATATTCTCATCGTTGGTAGTAATGATCGAATGATCAAGTCTACCAAAAACATGTTAAATACGAGATTTGACATGAAGGATATGGGTTTGGCTGATTTAATCCTCGGGATTAGAATCATTAGAAGACCTGATGGTCTCGTGTTGAGCCAATCACATTATATTGACAAAATCCTTGAGAGATTTAACAAGGATGATAGTCAAGTGGCTAGGACACCATTTGATACAAATATTCATCTAACCAAGAACCACGGAGAAGGTATTTCACAAGTGGAATATGCTCGGGTCATTGGTAGTTTGATGTATCTTATGAGCTGTACTAGGCCGGATATTGCCTATGCGGTTAGTAAACTCAGTAGATATACGAGTAACCCCGGCGCCATGCACTGGAAGGCAATAGTAAAGGTTATGAGATACTTGAGGTATACTCGTGATCTTGGACTGCACTATGGGAGATATCCCGCCGTACTTGAAGGGTATAGCGACGCGAACTGGATATCTGATATTAAGGACTCTAAGTCCACGAGTGGCTATGTGTTTACACTAGCCGGTGCAGCCGTTGCGTGGAAATCCTCTAAGCAAACTGTGATAGCTAGATCCATGATGGAATCTGAGCTGATAACCTTGGACAAAGGTTGTGAAGAGGCTAAATGGCTACGCCATTTTATAGAGGATATTCCTAATTGGGAAAGACCGGTACCTCCAATATGTGTGCATTGCGATAATCAAGCCACAATTGGGAGAGTACAGAGTCATATGTATAATGGTAAGTCTAGACATGTGCGTCGTAGACATAATACCATTAGACAACTGCTCACAACTGGTGTTGTCTCGATTGACTACGTAAAGTCAAAAGACAATATAGCGGATCCGCTGACCAAAGGGTTAGGAAGAGAAGTTGTGGAGAAGTTGACACGAGGAATGGGTCTACTGCCCTTGGACTAAAAAGTTCTATAGTGGATACCCAACCTAGCTGGCACCTAGGTTCAATGGGACAACTAAATTATGGAACGGAGCGCATCACTGTGGGGGTCTCGGACTCCCTTCCACTCCTCGTTAGAACAGTGACTCCCGCAAGAGGCTAGCATATTAATGCTTTAATGATTCTTGAGTATGCGGGATACTCGAGAAAGAATCACCTATGTTAGAGAGAAGTGAGGGTCGCTTCAAAGGAGAATTGTTGGGCACAATTCTTTAGAAACTCTCGCAGAACCAGGAACGGTGACCCACGACCAAAACGGGCACACTCATGAGAGCAAGAGCATGGTTGGGAGATTCCTGTGTGAGATATGTCATCGTCTACAGAAACGGCAGTCGGTTCAAAGAAATCGCGTTCTACCGTACAGCTAGTAGAGTAAACATATCTTCACGAGGGAAGGTTCAAAGGGTATAGTGACTCCCTACCTATCCTATGCAGGGATCGACC